CTGAAATGGGTTACTGCTGGAGATTTAGGTTTAAGCTCATAAAACCATTTAGATGGGAATGTTGGGCTAGAAGTGTGAGTTGGGGAAGCCTTAAGTTTCCAGCCCAGCATTCAAACATGTTATACCAAGTGGTTGTGTGCTGCCGCTGACCTGTTATGAGCCTGTAAAACCAGTCAAGGAAGCACCATAAGGCGACTTTAAACAATAGCAACAAGCTCAAGCGGCGGCTAACAAGGTGGAGGGTTGGACGCTGTGGTTAAAGTTTATGAGGTCCAGGGCTGGGAGAAGCTCAGCCCTACATCTCCCACTTTCTTTCCTCGGTCTCTCCTGATGGAGTATGAGTCAAGACAACAGCTGGTAGCTACTATGTGCCCGGCTGCATAGTGGATGGGAAAACCCATCTCCATAGTAACAGAGAAGGCATTGCATGTGCTGCTCCTGCGTGATCTGGGGAGTAGCTGGCTAAAGACATCTGGTCAGTGTAGCCAATTCTCAGGGGAAATTAGCTCATTTCATCTGATAGTAACCACAGAAACTTTTGACTTCGTTTAATAGTATGATGCTGAACATGAGATAAAGTGACTGGTTCAGCAATTTTGAAAGTCAAAGATTATCTAACTACTTTTAGATAAATATTTTTTTTAAGGAAGGCTATTGCTTGTGCTCATTTCCCCCCGCTTTCTCTTCCCCATGCTGATGTTACTGTCTAATATGATGATGATTCTTCAGTGTGGGGTGGGTTTCAGGAATTTAAAGGCAGTTTTCTCTTTGTAAATATTTATTTCTTTTGCTTACATGAGCTCTTTTTATTATACAGTGAACCTTCTGAGTCTTTCATCTTAGTAGAGCTCAGTATAGTGTGAGATACTGTCTGTGTTAACATACTATGGCTTGTACTCTAGAAAGTTCACTCCCCACCCCCAAAATCTTGAGTCAATTAACTCTTGACTATTTTCAAAAGAAATATTCTGAACAGCTCATACGGCTACAAATAAACCTCAAAATAACTGGTGCATACGTGTAAAAGTCTTGAGCTATTTAACATCAATGAAATCAATTACAGATGATATTTTTGTGTACAATACAGGAAAATTCCAAATTTATTTTTATGGAACAAATTCTACATCCAATATACAGAGACTGTACTGAGGATATGGTGGTTGGATATGCTGTTGTTTGTTTCTGTTTGCCATAAGATTTATCAGCTCATACTATCCTGTGTAACATTCATAAATTTGGAGGAAATTGAAGAATGGAAACTATTTTGCCATTTGCATATGGGGACATTATGTATTTTTCAAATGCTAATAAATGAATGTAGTGGACAGTAGCTTTTCTGTGAGTATAATGCATGCAGAAAAGTGTCTTGTAAGAGGCCCAAGAGCAACATCCTAAATGTATGGGGCACAAATAAATGCTTGATCTTCCACCACCCCCTGCCCACTACTGGCACCTACTCCTGGTTGTAAATATTTGAACTCAGTGGGTTGTCGTGACCATCATGAACTACAAAATGAAAATGCGTGGGTGGGGATAAGCCTGAACAGTATGTTTCCCTTTATGGAAGACCAGTAGAGCTGTCAATCTTTGACAAGCCCTACCCATGATTTCTGTTTGAGGCTGTGTGGTTGAATGAGAGAAATGTGTTCAGCTCTGCTGGACAACAGCAGTAAATGATTATATGGAGCATAAGAGCTGCTAGCTGCCATAGTTCTTAAGAAAGATCAGGGTAATCTAAAAGTCTTAAAAATCTGAGAAATGCTTATAATGAAGGGGCTTGAGCTTCCTAAAACAAGTCAGACAAGCACAGCAGATGTTTGAGGGTCCCAGGTGGGTTATATAGATGTTAATAAACCAGATGAGCTGAAATCAGTTAATGAAAGAAGTTTAATCAGTCTGAGTTGATTCAAGAAGTGACTGCATGATGAATACCTATTCCTTATTGAATGATGATTCATTGGTTTGCTTTCTCTGCTGAGCTCATGCTCTGATGAATCAAGAGTTACATCTCTCAGAGGAGTTAAACCATTGAAACTAGGTGTCAGATTTTTTTCCCCAAAATGTTTCTCTTTCCTACCTGGAAACAGTCATGTAACAATGTGAAGAAGTATGTGGGTGGGTAGGTGGTGGTAGAGAGGACATGGAGGAAGTCTTTCCTATTTCACTCTTAACTTCATATTGAGTTTCATGGCAAGTGGACAGTCCTTGAGACCTGAAAAATAAACCTCTTGGTTTCGTAGTTTTAAAAAATTTCTTTCTGAAAGTAATTTGCATTTGGTCACTTTTTTTGGTAAACATAGGTTACAGGAATCAATAGTAAAAATTCTACTTAATCACAGAAAAATGATATTATTACAGAAAAACTTACGATGCTAGGGAGGGCTTTGGGGGGTCTTGAGGTGGATGGTTGTTTGCCTTTCTGGTTTTTAGTTTGTTTGTTTTATGAAGCCGAATGGCTTCGGTTGAAGCTTGCAATAAGTCTTCTCTGACTTTTATCAACATCCAGATTCAGGAATTCCAATGAGTGTGATTATTCACATAAAATCTTTTCTCTCGAAGTGTAGAGAGGACATTTATTTTCTGCCGGGCTCCTTATTTTCACAATGCTTTCAGGAAGCTTAAATCTCCTCTGACGTGCCTGACCTTCTGATCTGTCCAGATCAACTAGTGGATTTGGGAGTTTTGAGAGGGGAAACTGGAGGTAGACAAGGCAGTCACGTGGACCTCTCTGGGGAGACCAGCCCCAAAATAGAACCCCCTCATAAACCTCTCTTTCAAGTGAGAACTGATAGTAAATTTCCTCTGCTGTTTATACCATTGCTGCAAGCTGAGAATACTTTATTGGATAATTCAAAGCAGTCTTCTAGGCTGACTCTGATTTTTTTTAATTTTTTTTTTCCCCCAGCTTTTAGCTGTCTAAAAGTTAAGTTAGATAGTACAGGCCAATTACATAGGCTTTCCTTTCATGGAAAAGGATAGGTACTCCTGAAAGCATAGTTTGTTATGTCTCAAGGTGCCTAGGATGCTTGAGATGAATTTCCCTTTCTATGTGCCTGTTTCTGTCCATTAATTACAATAAAAGCCATGCATGTTTGCCCTATCCAAGTACTTGGAGTTTTCATTCGCCATGAAGTTGCTTTCTAGCCAGGCAGTTAATACTAACTTAGTTTATCAGTATTAATACTAATGTTGTTTTTATAATTGTTTTGTAGTTATGAACATGCTTGAAATATATCACGTGGTCAGGTTTTTAACAGCTTAGCTAGTATTTGGAATATGATATAGTTACATTTCTGATGCCTGGATGCTGGCTTTTGTTTGTATTTTCCTCTCAAGAAGCATAAATCGTTGATTATGTGGCTCAGTACTTAGATATATGTAGTGTAAAGGTGTAATCTTCCCTTTTCAACAGATAGGTTCAGCTGTGCTTGTTTGTTATGGACTGCAGTCTGCTTCAAGGGTCCCATTGACTTGGATGAGAATATTCAAGAATAAAGTGATGTACAGTGGAAGAGGTGTCAGAAATTAGCTGTGTGATGTAGCATGGGCAGCTTAGTGTTAAAGCCCTGAGCTGAAGTGATCCAGATGAAACAAAATGTCAGAAGTATTCTTCCTGCCAAAACTCTGAATAGCTTCTTTTATCACTGGGTCCTGTGATCGTGTGGCTCACAGGCAGAGTTGCACAGTGTATTGAGCAGCAGTAAGAGGTATAACCTGAGCAAAAGAGGAGCTTCTTGGCTCTCAAAGAGGAATACTTCAGTGAGGTTCCTTTGAGCCTGAATTCTGACTGACTTATCTTTGTATTTATTTTAACAGTAAAACAAGTTGAAAAAAAAAACAAAACAAAACTGCTTTCCCTGCTTTAAAGCATAGAAAGAACTACAGAACATGAAGTAAAGTTAAAAGGAACTCCTTGAATGTTGTTAAGGATTCCAAAAGTAGTCTTTAATTGCTGCCAAAACTAATGTGCCTGGAATTTCCATGGAAAATAGCAATGCAGTAGCCAGTTAGTATACAAATACCTCCAGTTTGCAATAGATTCCTCCCCCCCGCCAAAGCTTGTTCACCCTCTTTTCCGTGTTAAAAAAACCCATATCTGCGTTTAACACTGTGCTTAAGATTGAAACAGTTAAACATGACTTCTCATAGCAATACTAGGAGTCATGTGCTGGTAACTACTTGGTGTTGTGCTGAGAACTGATTGCTTGTTCTACAGCCACCATTGTTTACTATCTTTTTAAACATAAAAAATAATCAAATTTGTTGAAGAGATAATTCCTACAGCCTACAAATAATTCACAAAGTGTTTAAAAAGGCAGCTCTCATAGTGTTTTTCAGGGTGATTTAGCACTGGAGACGAACACATTTCATGTCTCCGTAGCATGAAATATTCATTGCTATTACTCAAAAGGTGTAAAACCACAGCTAGTATTACCAGAGAGTTTCTACTACTTTTCAAGTACTATAAAGCATGCTGTTTAAATAGGCACAATGTTTCTGGCTTTAACAGTATGCCATTTGGGATGAGTAATATGGTTCATGATAACAGAATTCTCTGATGTAACATGCTAGGGGCAGATTTCTAATGAGGAAAGCTTTATCGATGAACTTAGTAAAACATGCATTCATGTCATCAGCTTTGGTATCCCAAGTGCACCAACTTATAAATATTCAAATAGCCAGTTATGGGACACAGCTGTACCATACTTTCATGTCTAGTAGGTTCCCGTTGGCCATCCAGCTGATGAGGAAATGCACACTGTACACAAAGCAGTCCCTTATGTGCTTTTCTAGTGTAATGTGATTGTTAATTAATTACACCCTGAACAGTACTAGCAATTGACACTTCTATACAAAGTTAAATGTGCAGTGTGTTACATGTTTGGGAAAGGGGAAACACAAGGTTGTCGTTAAAGCCATTTTTAGCAGAGCTGGAAAGAGGACACAGATCCAAGCCTGGCAGACCCATTTGTTTCATCCACCGAGAAGGAACTCGCCAAATGGGTGAGTTTGGGTCTGCTGCCTTGCTCCTTTCGGCAGAGGAGGACAGGCCTCTGACCCTGCTTTCTATCTTTTAGCCACCTTTACTGATGCTTTAAGGAAAGTGGAAAACTATCCAAACTGAACTGTAGTTTAAGTGGCCTCTTCCTCCTGTAAGATCTGTAAGGTTGGCTAAAACCTTTGATGTTTGATCATTTCTACAGGTCTTGGCCACTTGAGAGATTTTATTTATTTATTTATTTAAAACCACTAAAAAGGATGTAACCCAAACTTTTTACATGCACTATTCATGTATCAGTATTTGGTGGTTGTGCATTAGGACTCCCTTTTTTAACTCCTCCTTAGTCCTAGAAAAGAACTTAGCCTGATAATTATTTTTTTTGCGTACTGAAAAAATACTACTTTGAAAGAAAGTTTTACATTGAGAAGAAGATTATCACCTCTTGGTAATGACATGATGCGAAACATGTCACACCTTTCAGTTGTTTGTCATATGGAGTGATGGCTTGCGTATTGGGTTAGTAAATATTAAGGTTGTGTAGCTTTAAAGCAAGGAGTCACCTTTCTTTAATCTCTTGCTTAATTTCTGTTAAGACAACTGGTACAAGTGTCGGTTCTTACTAGTTTGTCTGTTGCTGAACAAGTGTCTTTTTGGATGGGATGAACATCTTTGGTTCCAGTGGGTAATCTTAGCTCTCTGGTTTGGCAGTAAGACCTTTGATGTCTGGACTAGCCTTACAGTTTTTTATTAATATCACATCTACCACAATGGGATCTCAAGGGGCTTAAGCAGGACAGACATACTAAAAACAACTTTTTGAAATGGTGAGTACCAAGAACTGCAGAGAAAGTGTAAGGGAAAGGCTAAAAAATTGGATGATCTTTTGCCATTTAAAACAAACCAAAAAAAGTTTTTATAATTACAACCAGAATTTGTCTAGCTGTGTAGTAAGACTGCCATTTGCTTTATCACATGAGGTACTGGGGAAAAAAAAGTTTGGAAGTTGGGCATTTCCAAATATGTGTTTACTTTCGTTACTAATTTAAGCAACAGTAAATCTCAGATCAAAGAGAAGGCCCTAGAAAACCCAGCTATTCCTAGGAAAAATTGTACCATGAATCATCTGGAAGTATAGCTCACCTAAGGAGCAGATATGCCTCAAGCTTTAGAAAAATGAACGCAATAGTAATGCAATTAATATGAAGTCCTGCTCCACTGCTACCAGTTGAATGCTGTGATATGTTAATGCATTTAAAATGCATAACCAGTGCTTTGGTTGTTCTAATAATGTATATTTTAAAGTGGACTCTAAATCTGTTCTGCATTGCCCCATGTTTCAGCACAGAAAACACTCATCTGTCTTTAAACCATGCTCCTTGTGTCCCTTCCTTTAAGTTGCAATTGTTTTTCCCTCTTCAGGTACCACTTCACAGAGGGGATTCTTCTGGTCGGGTGGCTTTTGCTTGCTACATCAGCTGCCTGCTAGCCTATGTACTGTTGCAGAGCCTTTAGTCTATTCTTGATGTGTCCTAAGCATTGCTTTTATAAGGGCTCTGCTTTTCCAAAGAGTTTTGGAGTACATTGTTGGTGAATTCTGCCAAATACCAGTTTGGGTTTTTTTTTGTCAAATTCATTCTATATAATGCCTATTAGTTTCCTGAGGTATTTGATGTCTTGAAGCTCAGACCAGCTGCCACTGAGAAGGCCATGGCTTTTTTAAGAATTTTTTTTTCCTTCCAGCAATGAATAGTGCACTTGTCCTTTATTTGTAAAGGGAGCAGGGGAAAGGTGATAGTGAGTGAAGGGAGTTTCACAGAGCTGGAGTTCTCCTTTCGTAACTTTAAATTCTGAAAAAAGCTGCCTCTGTTGCACCATTTATTTATGTTGGACTCAAAACTGATAGAAACATGAATCCAAGTAAAAATATAAGTCTTTGCACATAACGGTAGCTTGGTTAATGGGGTATGCAACTTCAGAGAGATCTGGCTTTTATCTTCATTTTGCAAATGTAAGTTTAGTTTGGTCTGTTTGGAACATTATCAAAGCTCTAGGGAGAGTTTGCACTGAGTTAATCATGTGCTTTGGTTGGTATACATTAACTTCCCATTTTGGTATGCTATAATCCCGATGTGCTAAATGATAGCCACAACTGTTTAATGCTTGCTGATTGGAACGGGCGCAGGAAATTGGCACGAGCAGGAAACTATTTGCCTTCAGTATGTGAAATGTATTTGCCACTTAGCTGAAAATGCTGCCTGCTTTGCCTTCGGTTAGGTTTATTTTGCATGTCAAATAATTCTCCTCTCCTCCTTCACAAATTTTAGAGGCAACTGTAAAATGCTGACTGAATAGGCTGTGTACATAGGGCATCTGAGAGGTTTTTTATTAGCTTAAACTAGCACATGTGTTTTCCTGTGAGGAGTATTAAGTGCCTGGACTACAGGTTTAGTGTGTGACTGTTTTTGCAGCTGTGTGGAAGAGCATGATGCGTATTCCCTGGAGCAGGCCTGGGAGAGAGCTCAAGTATGTTGAGGCAAAAGCAGGTTGTGTTTATGGGAATGTCAAACAGAAATATGGCACTTGAACTCTTATCAACGCTGAGCCTGACACTGGTAACTGAGCAGTGGTCGCCCAGGTGTGTGAAAGGAATGCCCCACTTCTAACCGCGCAGGATTTTGTTTCAGAACTTGACAGCTCTATCCTGCAATGCTATCCTGCCAGTCTGGAAAAAATGAAAATTTTCTTTTTCCCCTTGTTATCTGGAGGTGGTTGAAACCGGCATTAGTCCATTTGAAAATCAGTAGTTCTTAAACTGTTACTGAAGAACACGGCCATTGCTTAGGCCACAAATCTTACTGTTGGAGGATGAATTTTGAAAACATACTGCTTCTGGAAAAAGAGGGTATCATGAGTATATGTAGAAGTAAAGGTAACATCCTGCTTTTGGTGACCTCTAACTCTTCTGGAAATGTATTAATTGCGGAACACATCTCATCCCAGTGAAGATCCCATAAAGCCAAAAACCATATAGAGGAGCTGGAAGAGTAGATCTGAGAATCCTAAAGCAAGGCTGTCAAGCACACTACCATTTTGTAACTCCCTTCCCGGAGGGAGGGCAGGGCTGGGGATGGAGGTCTTGTCTCCGCAAGAGAGGTAAGAAGTTAGAACTTCATCAAAGAGTTCCTCTTCGGCATACTCTGTACTTGCTTTTGCAGGAGTTGTTGAAATAGCTCGTAATAGCTCATGGGATTTAGGTATGGGGGCCTCACGATGTCGCTGGGCGTATCCAGCTATACTTCCATCCACAGTGCTACTGCCTCGTTGTCTTGGAGCATTTGTGTGGGAGAGGGTGGTGAGCTTAGTGGGTTTCTCTGATTTGGAATGGAGTTAAAAGACTGCATGTGGTTTTCTCAAAGCCATATGAGAAACCTGTAGCTGAATAGCAAGTCAAGCTTTGACCTCCCCTATCTTTTCAATCTTCCTGACTCCTGCCTACCCAGGGAATGAAGAGGGGCATTGCTACAGCTTGCGGGCATTCTTTCTCTTTCTTTGGACTCTGAGTGGTGGCCTTAAGTTGAGAAATCTTCATAGGTCAGAATGTTTGGCTGTGGGTAAGGCTGAGATGATGCATATGCAGTGCTGTCAACTTTGGAGTGAGACGCTCAAAGAACTAGTAGGGCTTTGGCAGTCAGGTTTACTGCAGAGTGGGAATGTAGATATCCTTGGTCAACTGGTGACTGTACAGAGGGAGAGAAACAACAAAAAAGGAAAATTAATTTCATTGAAGCTTATTTTCTTACAGTCCTGTTTTTTCAAGTTTCTAGAGAGAAAAATGTAGTTCCTAAACTTTCTACTTTATAATAAAAAGTATTCCCTTTCATGCCTTAAATCTACAGATGATTCTGCAGATATGTCTTGTGTTTAAGAGCTCTATACATTTTAAAAAAAGCATCACTAAAAGTTAAATATAAAATGAAACCTGGCTACAGTTTGTGTGAAATATGACTCTGAAAACCACCATTTTTTCAAGAGCAAACACTGATTTAATGTAAAAGATAATTGAAAACTAGAGGTTTCTAGCTTCCCATCCTTACCAGTCGTCTTCCTCTTTTCTTCTGCCTTTTTCTAATAGAATGAAAACAGATGAGTAAGGAGGAAAAATAAATATTCAAAGAAAGTTCTTTCCCACTTTTCAAAAACAGTGGAACAAAAATACTTTTTCATCAATAATCTTTCTAATTTCTGTTCTAAAACATATTGTTGCTTCCTGGCTGCTCTCACAGTGTGACCTCAAACAAAATAGTAGTACATTAGTATGTCTGAAATCACTAGATATCAAGTGTTGCTGTTACCAAACTGTATAGCAGGTGAGCAGAGTGTGTCTGTGACATCTTAAAAATGCCATCTACTGTCACATTCCCTTGTAAGTATACGAAGTGAAGCTATTGCAGGTAAACTGGGCTGATAATGGCCAGATTCATCCTTTTGTGTGGCTCTGCCTTCAGGTAAGAGATACTGTGCAATGTTTATTTTCTCTCAGAAAGGAATAGTGTTGTAAGTGATAGTCTAAGGGTGTAAGAGAAACATGGTTTGCTGGAAGACACAGTAGCTTTTATTGCCCTGTCATTTATAGCTGGAAAAAAACAGGCATACAGCCTCTTCATGAGGTCCCCCCATAAATTCAATGTTAGCTGTGGAGCAAAGGGAAGACTTATGAACTGCTCCGTGTAGGACACAGTGAATGTGAAGTGGCTTTTCTAAAAATGAGTGAGAAAGATTGTTTACTAAAAAGCATACAACGAGATACTTGACGGGATAAAAATAATCAGATCAGGGAAAGTAACCACTGTGTAAACAGTGTTAATATGAAAAGTTCTCTGTAATGTAAAAATATAGACTACTTGGCTTAGGCTGATTTTTATTTTTTTTTAAATAGTCTGTAACAGTTCCTTTCTACTCACATTAGCATGTTGTATGTAGTAATGAATAAGCATGCATCTCTCTGAACTGTATGTGCTTAATCTTAAGTAGGTGAATAGTTCTTTTGAATTCGGTGAGATACAAAATTAAGCATATGCTGCACTGGGTAGAAGCCAGAGCATTTTTTCACTTTGAAGGAGAAGGTTCTGTATGAATTCCTTCTAGAGATTTTTATGAAGCCCTGAGTAAGAGGTTCTTGAAATAAACAGAAAGAAATGGGGTTTTTAAATCATTTTTGTGCTCGTGTTAGCATGTTGACACTTCCTTTCTGTTGCCAGATACTTTGGGTTTAAAGCCTAGTTCTCAAGCATACTTTGTGATGGGGGAGAACTCCGCATTAAAACAAGCATGGTAAACGAAATGTGCAAGTCCAGCTTAATTTACTTCTGTAAATTCCTGGTGGATATCATCAGCAACTAAGTTCAAAAGCTAAAGACGACTGTGTTGTGAAGAGGCTTGTGCAGAGGTGATGGTGTGGAAAGTTGTTCTAAGGCAACCGTGCTCCAAGACCGTGCCTTCACGTGCAAAGTTACACCACTGACATCTGAGGCCTTTTGTAGTCGGTGGAAAAATTTCAACTGCCTGCATTTGGATTTGGCTGAAACCTCTAGTGAGAAGAGAGCTAAGGAAATCAATTAAAGGCTTTTTAAATGCACCTAAGGGAGTTAGGTGCCTGACTCCTATTGAAATTCAATAGGATTTTGTTGCTTGGAGCCTTTGGAAAATCTCAATCTAAAATTGCAGGCCTGCAGTATTCTTTATTGGTCTCAGTGCTATTGTTCTGTGCTCTCGGCACCGATTAAGGGAAAATAGAAAAGCTTCGGCACAATCAACTCTTCTAACTCTGTCTCCTAGTAAGCATCCCTTTTTTTCAGAACATGAACATTTTCGTAAATATTATTTTGTCTTAATTAAAAACATGATTGTGGGGACTTTGATAATGTCCAGTAACTTCTTAGGATTAATTATGGGCTCTGAATATAGAAATGTGATACTGATACCATGTTTTTTGTTTTCCATTGCCTGTTTAATCATTTGGTGCCAAATATGCTAGACAAAGAATTTTAGCAAATGATACTAGGTTTTTTGAAAGGAAGGAACATCAAGTGTTCTGGCTTTAAACATTTTTTAAAAACTTACTGTTATTGTTTTTGCCTTGAAAAGGTGCAGTTTACAAGGTCTTTGGAAGTAAGGAGATTAATTAGGAGGATAAAAATCCCCTATCTTAAATAGTGCTTTTAGCACTTGCTGTCGCTCAGTAAATGTTTATATATATATGAAAAAACATCTATCTTTTTATTTTTGCTCTGTACTTCTTCAAGCTGGGATTTTTACTTTATTGAACTTGGTATCTGTCTTTGTTTGCCTAGGCCATCTGATTTTGCTGTTCTGTGTATCTTAGAAAACACAGTACAGCTTTCAGGAAAAAGTCCTGCCTTTCTCGACAGAACAAAGAGGGGCCTCTCTATACAAAGTGAGTGAGATTAGAAGAAACAGTTGCCTTTGCTGCTGTTAATTTGCATACCCTGCTCTGGCTAAACACAAGTGCTGTCTGAAGCATTTTGCAAGCCTTGATGTGTCAGGTGAACAGTGTGCTGTGGAGTCCAGTGCTCTCTGAACTAATGTGTAGCCTGCAGTGCTCCATTTTTTCATGCTACCCTTCTCTGAGTGTAAGTGCAACCTATTGCTCTACACGAGACACACGTTTCTGCTTTTTTTGACCTTTCAGTGGCTATAGAGGATATGCTGCATCTCTGCTTATGAAGATGCTGAACCTGTTTCTCTGTTGCCCAGTCCAGCTCCACAGCCCTTGGCTGACGACGAGTGCCCCATTCATCACTTTGCGTTAGCATCAGCACGTCTATTGTCTCCTCTGTGGGCTGCTTCAGAGACCTCCTTGTCATGACTTCTGAACAAAACTTTTGGCAGTGTCCTCACTCCTCTACTGCTGCCTGAGATTGCGAGGAGGTTCCTATTCCCCTTTACTGTTGGCATACTAGCTCTATAGCAAAGCTCTTCCATTGCCTTTCCTTACAAATCAATGCAAGTAGTGCCACGGGAATCTTGTAGCTGAGGTAATGCTGGTTGGCATGCAATCCCTATATAAGCTACGGGAGAGCTTATTTCCTTGTTTAAAGGAATTCATGGGAATTTTGTCATCCTTGAAGCCAGAATCTGAAGGAGGTCAGATTTGAAAGAATTGTGGGAATAATGTGGTTGATACCTCCAATGAGGATAATGTAATAGAGCTTGTGATATGGCAGAGATGGGCAGGAGTCATATTCCCAGTAAAACGTTGGGGTGGGAGGAAAGTCTTACAGCAAGATTTGTGTGCTCATGAGGCTTCAAGTCATCCCCCTCGTCAATGCCTCTTGTTTTTCTGTGCTTGTTATCTTCCTTTCCTCCTAGGGCAGCCACCTCTGTGGTGGATGGAAGCTGTATGTCATCTTTGATTTTTGGTCTTCAGTAGCCAGTTGGAATAACATAGTGGTATGCTTTGCTTCCTTGCTCCTAAAACATGTATTTTACCTCTCTTATGTTTATGGAGTTAATTGAAAAAAGTCTAGACTCAGAGTAAAGGCATTCTTGTTCGTAACAGGTTTCAGATGACCTCATTTAGTCCTCCCACATCAAATGTCTGCATGAACTTCTGCGGTGCTCCATGACCAGTTACAGCTTTGAGGTCTACAAGCAGAACCTCAGGCAATATATTCTCTATGCAGATGCTGTCTCAGCCTTCAGAGACAATTTCTTTATCTGTTAAATAGCTGCTGCTATGGTGTCATGATCTATTCTATATCAGGGTTTTGTTATGTGGGTTTTTTTGTTGTTGTGGTGTCCGTCCGTCCCCCAAGCTACTAATCTCTCTAATTGCTTAAAAACATCTCTTTCAGCTGAGGTTAGGGACTCTGTCCTTCCTTTTGCAGTTGCTACTGCACTTTATCTCGCACTGTGGATGTTGGATGTCTCCCAATGTTGGATTGTAGCTCTTCCAATCCAGTGGGGGTGGAGTAGTAAAGGAAGGGCTTTTCAAGATGCATTTATTAGCAAAATAAGCCAGATATTAATTTTGTTAATATACTTGTGTGTATTTGTTTTCATAGATCTGACCCTCCAGTCACACAGCTGAAGAAGTCTGGTTCCTCCTTCAATTGAGTCACAGTCCTTTTCATAAGTAACTTTTCCCTCTTGTCATGTGATGGAAGGGACTTTCTTGTTCTTTTGCCTAATGGCATCCTGAAGTTTGTCAAGGCGACAGTTAAAGTGTCCTTTTCCATAGCAGGTCCAGTTCTTTGGTGTAAGTCAAATCTAATAAGTCAGCTTTTCATCACAGCTGTTCTTTGAGCCCGTCTCTGCGTGTTCCCTGTGTGGGCTTATTATGAAACTGTGATTAATCCATGGGAACTGTGGAGATATGGGCTGTAATGACAGATAGCATGGATATGTTTGTCAGGGGACTGTGTTTTTATGGATCCTGCCTAAGTTCCTTCATCAGGTGAAGACAGCTGTATTTTAGCCAGGTGATTAGGTTATGACATATCTGTCTCGGGCTGAGGGTAATTTTTATGTTTTGATGGCTCTTTCATTATCCTTGAAGCAATTCCCAAAGCTGTTCATGTAGTAACTGATCAGCTCAAAGGAACTTCCGTTTCCATGTCAAAATTGTGGAATTGAGTAGTGAGATGTGCTGAAGAATCTGTTGTGAGGCTTCTAAAATGGATCCCACATGCTGACCCCAGTCCTGTATCAATGTACCAGTTGAGGACTCAAGCTCCTTTACTGGTCTTTATGAGAAATATTTCATTCCCTGGCATCTGCTAAACGGCTACCTGGAGATCTATTGTAGTTTCACCAAGCACTGTACCACGGTAGAAATGCCCAAGACTTGTTACACTCGTCTTGTCTACCCGTTCCTTTTAGTTGAGAGTGTTGTGAATTTACATGTGAGAATTTGCTCGCAGCTGGATTGTTTTTTTCTTCAAGAAAAGCAGTCTACGTATGTATCTCACATTCATCTTCTCTACCTTTTCACCCAGAGTTAATCTGATACTTGGCTGTATTGGGATTATGTTGCTGAGAAGGCATGACGATGGTGGTAAGCGTATGCCTGGGCTGAGCAGAAAGGATGGCAGAAGTGAGGGTACCATGTACAAATCGGTAATTAAAAGGAAAAAAGTCTCTGCTCTTAAGCAAGAGGGCTCCTGTATGCCCACTGAATGAAAGTACATGAATGTCACATCTCAAAGGGCTCTTTTTACCACGTCAGTATAAGTTTTTTATCTCAGTGTTGTATTTCTATTTTCACCTTATAGAAAGGAGATCACAATTAAGTTACACAGGGTTGAATGCGTCCTTGCACAGTGCAGTTCTTGTGTGTCTGTAATTTTAACCAAGAAAACTCCTCCACTGAGCTTTAATTCCCACTCCCACTAGTGTTTTGTGGTCATTTACCCTGTATTTTAATTTTTCCCTTGTGCTGAATGTTACTTTGTTTCTCATTTCACTCATTCTTTCCATCCTCTCTGTCTGCTCAGCACTTTATCTTTCCTTTTTCCTACATCAGCTTCTCAAAGACATGTTTCAGTCTAGCTGATGCATTGTGAGAAGCACAGACTTTTATACAGTGCACTTAGTAGGCACATGTTAAGCAGGCAATTAGGAGAAAGTATCAAAGAAACTGTGGACTAAATTAATCTGTTGTGTAACTCAGATTTGCTGAAATTCTCAGGTATCAGGCATGGCTGCTCTCTGCCAGGGCTAGCTCCTATTAAATGGAATTAGCCCTAATTACCACCAGCATGAATGAACTAAGGATCAGGTTGGCATCATTTTAGTTGATGTAAAGTTTCATGTTAAGCTGTTAATCGGGAAAATATAGGCAATATTTTAGTAGCTCAGGAAGACATAAATTTCTAATGTATTTTTTTTCCTTATTGTCTGCAACTTTCTGGCCGCTAATATGAGTGTGTACCAACAGAAATTCATCAGCCTCCCCCACCCCCAGGACACTACTTATTAGATTTATGCAATGCCAGATATTAAAACCACTTTTGTCTGTCACACAGCCACGGGCAGGGGAGGGGGAATTCGCCAGTTGCTAATGGATACCTGGAGTTTTTGTGTATGACCATGAAGAACAGCTTGTGCACTTTCACCCCCGATGTTCCCTGAATAACTTGGGTCTCATTTAGGTCAATAAGCCTTTATCAAAACGTCAGGAGTGAAAAATGTGTCTTGGTGTAAGCCGACTGGTCGTTCCCTCCAGTCACCGGAGTCTATAGGACAATCAGTGTTCGCTAAGCTTGTCTGCATGTCACGCAAAGAGCTGGATGACAGTAACCATTGACGGCGTGTCTGTCGCATTGTCTTTGGGACAGCCCCCATTTGCATACTTGCCGGTGTGCCTGTTATCCAACGAACCATGGAGGGCCTTGAAAAAAAACATACACCCACAACTCCAATGCAAATTTTCTACGCAGAGAATACACGCTTCTTTAAAGCACAATCCAGGCTTTCACTTTTCTACCTTCTTGCTATAAAACTGAAACTATGATCCTGACAAGGCCACAGTGCCTGGTCAGAGCGCTGGTTGTGGTTTCTTTGTGCTAAAACATTAACTCTTCTCTGGGTTTTTCTTTGCCTACCAAGATAACTTTTTGTTGTTGTTTTTTGCTTTTGGGGATATCTGAATAGATATCTGCGGATATTTTGGGGATATCTGTGCTATCACATATGATGTGAGGCCAGACATCCCTTCCTCAAAGTAGTTATTTTTGAATGAAGGATGATTTTTGCTCCCTGTATGGCTGTTATTGTCTTTTGTTAAGGGAGTTTCCTCCGTGGTAATGATGAGAGGAGTTGTACTAGCCGTCTGCATACAGAAGATTACTTGGATATTAGAGTTTATTGACCATGTCTGTGAAGCGAATACCATCACCTGATCAGAAAAGATGGCCTCTGGTGCTTTATTTTGCTGTGACAATTCAACAGCCCCTCATGTAAAGCAGGGCTTATCATTTTGCCGTTTACTGTAGCTTCATAAATGGCATTAGGTGAAATTGGACCAAGGGAGAGTTTCACTGCGTTTGAAGCTTCTGACATAAGACACAGGCTTTCCTTAAAGTATCTGCTGCAGATGCTGTTTCTTTAGATTTATGACGTTTGTTATGACTTTATTGAAAAATATTTAACAATAGTCCAGTTTTAAAAAAAGTGAAGGGTTCTGGTGGATCCTTTTGGAACAAAGCTGTAGAAGAGATGCTTGGCTGGGTCAAAGGGTCTGAGCTTCATGTTTATGACAACCAACGATCTGGACAGTTTCATTATATCTTGAAAGTCTAACTGGAATACAAGTGACTATAAACAATTGTGATAGCAGTTCTGCTGCATCTGACATCTTGCACAGTTATGAGATTGTCAAAACTAAGGGAAAGGGTCCTGGCTAATGTTCTTCTGGCTTCTCTAGAAGTGTCACAGAGTCCAGGTTCAACACTGTACTGCCCTGAGATGAGCAGTTTGTTATGCCATCAGGAGACTGGCGTTTTAGAGCGACAAAAAGATTATACTGAAGTCAACTGGTGTTTTTCCCCCCCCCCCCCGCCCTCTTTTGGCTGTATACAGAACTATTATTTTACTCAGTATTCAGAGCAATGTCCCACGCGTTTTTGAAGCTAATAATATGACTCCGATTGATCTTGACTGGACTAGGGTTGTATCCTAGTTATTTCAGTTAATTTAGAAACTAATCACAGGTACCATCATGAATCCTGTTTGCCAATCTGTTATGAAAACCAGGAGTGAACCCTGCAGAAATGTGAGGCTGGATAAAACGTTCAGCAGCATGTCATCTTCTCTGCAGTTGCTCTTTATATTAAATCACTCTATGAAATAAGCAGCTCATTCTTTTAATACACATTATCCTGTGTAACTATGATACCTCCTGATTGGTTTCTCTGCTTTACTCTTCCCATATGCCATGTGTTGTATGTTTTCAATTACAAGCCCCTGTTGCCATTCCAATTAGCAAGTGTAGCTGGTGGCTCTGATAGAGAATGTGGCCAGTTATTAATCGAGTTGGCCAATAAGGAATTATTGCAGCTCCCTGATACTCGAGGAAACTACGCTGAGTATGCCGTGCTCAACCAGTCTGTAGAAAAGGAAGGTTTACCTGCACATTGACTAAGTTCCACATTCTACAAAATTGTACCTCTGCCTGATCAACAAGAATGTCAGATGTCTTTGACATCTATCACTTTGTAGGCATTTCCAAAGTCACACCTTAGCATAGGTCTGTGGTTAACAGGTGGCTCGATACCAGCAGTGCTTCAGGACTAGACCTCTGTTTCTGCTGAAGTCTGTAATTGTTGACAAGAGGATGGGAAAGGTGTGCTTGAGATCTCACTATGTTTTCAGTGCCCCTGGAGACTGACCTATTGGTAATGAGTACTAGATATCTTTCTTCAATCCATGTGAGATTAAAGGAAGGCTGAAAAAGTAATAATAAGTGGGAGGTTAAGCAGATACGGTAAATGGAATGTGAAGCACACCTCTTCCCGAAATGAAATACGCTAGCAAAATACTCATCTTCTGAATACAGACTCTGCTTGTTTTCTTTGGCTCAGTCAGGAAACCTTTTGTTTGAATTAGACCAAGTGAATTGCACAGAATGGTTTTCAGTTTTAGTATGTGTAGACAAGCCAAAATGCATGCAATTAAAATATTTAAACTTGCTCTTAATATTTTCTTTCTTTGCTCTTACAGGTTGTTCTATGTTTCTATGTTTTCTATGATCATCTTGGTATAGTTGATGTTTTTGTCACCTTCCAAATTTTACATTTTATTTTAGCATTTCCTAATACATTCTGAAAAAATATGAAAGCCATGCAGTAGAGAATTAACCTAGTTCCCTGTCTGTTTCTTTTAGGAAATTGTATTAGTGGTATTCTTTGGAACAGAGTATGTAGTTCGGTTATGGTCAGCAGGATGCCGCAGTAAATATGTTGGAATATGGGGAAGGCTTCGTTTTGCTAGGAAGCCTATTTCGATCATTGGTGAGTATGGACAGCTTGCAAAGTTGGCGTAAACAACGAGTAAAACTTGTCCTTGAAAGTTTTGAGAAGCGGAATTTCTGTGGTAGTTGAAGCCAAGTTAGAGCAAGAGCTCTTGTTGTTAGCATTAACATAGATCTGAATTTCCTTTCAGGAATCCATGGCGCTGTCATATGAGAACAAATGTAGCTTGGTTTGTTTTTCCAGAAGAGCAGAGTGTTTTCTTTTCACAAGTGATCTGAAGCTTTGCCAGAAATAAGTCTTGGCCATAGTCCTGTCTCCTGTGACCTCAGGATCCCAGACACTGTACAATAGCTACAACTGTATTTTTTTTAAAGATACTGAATGACTTTTTTTTTTCCCTAGCAGCCATTTGAATAATTTATTATGAGTTCATTTTGCACTGTAATTGAGCTACGTACTGCATGGTGGAGCATGATAGATGCACTGTAGTTACTTTGTGTATCTGTTGGATTGAAATATCATTTTCAGTGATACATTTGGAACTGGGTACCTGACTTCCCTTGATATTCACTGCAGTTGGCTTCCTAACGTGACTTCAGTGTTCTTAGAAATTACATCCATATATTTCATATATGTCAGAAACCATTATTTTTTTTAGAATGCTTGTCATGCATTTAACAATTTCACTGAAAGAAACATAATAATCCAAAATCAATCTACATTTTGTTAGCCAAAAATGAGAGCGCTATGTAAAGATCCTTGCCCTGAATCACTTAAAATATAAATGGATTAAACAAACCAGATTTTGGAAGAGGGGTATTGTTATAGAAGTGTAGTAATTCTTGTTTTGTGGCATAGTTTTTTCCACTACTCAGAAACATTATTTGTTGTTGAGTAGAGGATATAGTTTTTTATAAACTATGTGCAATTTTGCTGAATATAAATTACAAAATTTTGTACCTGGGTATTTTTACAATCATAAAATAGTTGAGTTTAGCTTCTCTGTGCATATATATAAATAACAACTGTATCTTGGGTGTGACTGCAACTATAAAATGGCTTTGACTGCATCTTTGCAGTCTATCCACAATCTATTTCTCTTGAGACCCAGAACACTAGGGGTTCTGGAACATCATCCAATTTATTTCAGCTTGGAAAGCACAACAAAGTTCCACTTTCCCAGATATGTATCATGAACTATTTCATTCTCCAAAATACAGAGTTCCTTTCCAAAATTAACTAGGCCTGAGGCACTGAGATTTAGAGTTCAGTCCTAGTGTAATGACTGACTTAAACTAAATTTGTCATACACTAATTCCAATTTTTCTCTCCCTTTTAGACCTGGACAGATGAAATAATAGTAAGGCAATTATCTTATATGTGAAATAAACCCCAAAACCTCTGCAATGAATAAAATACTGTCTAAAACAGCAGAGAAAATAAGATGCACAGAAGAGATAATAGGTAGAAACTGCTGAAATTCCTCATGTTTTATAGCTAATAAGGATTCCAGGCTCCTAAGGCTGCTTTACAGTAACTCATATCACTCTCATCATTCATCTAGAATGCGGCCATCTTGGGTCCATCCCAGTGGAACCTTCCTATCGTATCACACAATTATATTTTATTTGCATTACAATAGAGATCTCTTGATATTTAAACAAAAATCTTAATTTGGGCTGGCTGTTCAAACTGTTGAAGTAATATTGGCATTGGTTCTAGTCTTGCAGAAGTGTTGCAAGATGCCACTAACTTATTTTTTTAATTTTATTTTCCAGATTTAATTGTAGTTGTTGCTTCTATGATAGTTCTTTGTGTGGGCTCTAAAGGTCAAGTCTTTGCAACCTCCGCTATCAGGTAATTATATACAATCAAAAAAAAATAGCACTGTCTGAGTAAGGTGGTGGGTTTTTTTCTTTTATTACTTTATGTTTCAATTCTTGCAGGAGAAAACAAGTCACTGCTCAGTGTCACATGAAAGAGCAGATCACTAATCATGTATGGGTGTGAAACAGCGATCCCATTAAGTGTAGGAGAAATAAAATTTTGCATGTCATGTCTGGTCATAATGCATTTATGTCTGGTGGGGATAGAGGTGCACATATGCCTGCCCCCTTTCCCCAGCTAGGTGGGTTCTACCCAAATCCTGTTTTAGTTTCTTGGCTCAGTTTTATAGCAACTCTTTCATGCTTCCTATGTCTGACGTCTTCAAGCTGCTTCTTCATAAAATGCCTGGGGTTAGTGGTTGTGAATTCTGGATGGACTGAATCCACCTTGTGCTCAGGAAGGCCGCACCACTTGGTTTTCTTGAATGAGAGTGTACGTGGCAGTGTACTGTGCTCTGCGCACTAGCTGCAGCCATGCTGTAGGATTGCAGTGACTCTCATAAAAAGAATATTTTAAAATATTATTGGACTGTCTAATTCAAATTACCTATGAAATTCCTCAAAGCTGAGGAAATCAGACCTTTAGTTTGCTGTTTCTGTATGTTGTTTCCTATCCTGGAAAGCAGGTCAAATATGGTTTGATGAAAGATTTCTAGAGCATTCACAGTTTATGTCCAAAATTCCTGAATCCTTGAGTTATCTTTACTAGCCATGTATACAAAGGTCTGTCCTTTTCTTGTGCAATCCCCCCATGCTGTCTTCATAGCAAACAAGATGAAAGATGGGTAAAAGGAGTGAAAAGAGACAGGCTGCTAAGTCTAACGTAAAATACTGTGACTCTCTCTTAAAACGGTCCTTTGGAAGAGACAGACTTTCCCTCTCCACCTCTATTTCTTCTATATCTTCAGTCTCTTCATTCATTTAAAAATTGTGTTCCAGGGGCATCCGTTTTCTGCAGATTTTACGAATGTTGCATGTTGACCGTCAGGGTGGTACATGGAGGCTGCTGGGATCAGTAGTGTTCATACACAGACAAGTAAGTTTGAGTACGCTGAGGAATGGCATAAGAATTGATGCAAAAGTCTTTAAATTCAGAACAGCACGTATGCAGACATGCTGATGATGTCAAATACATGCAGTGTGGAGGCAGGCAGTCATTTATTTTAACCAAAAGTATGGTTGTTCTGCCTTTTTCAAGGGACAGAAAGTTCCTAAAAGATTAAAAATGTTCACCTCCACTTTGGCAAAATTTTGACTTGTAGTTGGACTGAACCACAGAAAATGAGACTTCTGAAAAGTAGTTTGAATATTTCTAAAAATATGTATCCAAATTGCAAAATTGTTTTGAATGTGGCACTGTCTGGAAAAATTACCCAATGAGTAATTGGGTACTTTTTGGTGATCAAAAGGTTAATGTGTCATGCTTGTAAGTGAGGAGGCTGTTTTGACTCTGTGTTTGAAATGTGCATGCTGGACCAAGTCATCAGCTATGGTGTAAATTCTTTCACCATTGAGCTCAGAGGATTTTTGTTAATTTGCACGGCCAACAGTCAGTGTCAGTGTTTCTTAATTGCTGGAATTATATTCTTCTGTTCCAATTATCTTTTAAAAAACTATCAGTGATAGGTAATTTAAGTGTCTCAATAATATTGTAATACCGTTATGTCGATTATCTTTGCAGGAACTGATAACTACACTCTACATTGGATTTCTGGGCCTGATTTTTTCCTCTTATTTTGTGTACCTGGCTGAAAAAGATGCTGTAAATGATTCTGGAGAAACAGAGTTTGGCAGCTATGCAGATGCCCTGTGGTGGGGAGTAGTAAGTATAACAATTTCACATGTACTAAATGTTGTTAACATCTTCAAATGTGGAATAAAGTTCAATCAAGCATGGAGTAAGAACTGCACTTTGAAATGGCCTCTTATTGCTTCAATACAATTTCTGGTTTTATAATTCTATGAAACTAAGGAAATACTATAGATGATCAGTACTTTTATTTAGTGTTTATAGTCTTATATGATCAAAAGTGATCAAATTCTGTATACAAGATGTAGAAACATCTATTCTTATTTCTTTATCTTGTTTTCCCTTCTGTTATTGTGATTACTTCTTGCTACCTTTCTCATGGTAGTGTTCAACTTTCTAAGGTGGTAAGAATCTTGCTAAATCAGGGCCAGTGTCTTGGAGTATTTTTGCGTGTGTATTTTTGTTTGTTTGTTTTTCTTTTTTTATTTTTCTTTTAACAGATATCTATGGTTTGCAATTTGACCTGGGACAGTAATTCCCTGTTTATTCAGAATGGATGAATTGCAGAACAAGGAGCACCTGAGATACCTAAGAAATCCAGACACAGGACTGTTTTGAAGTGATTATATTGCTTTGGAACCCACTTGGTATCCTTATGTGGCATTTGGCTGTGCTATGTCGACATACCATCTTGCTCAGAGATTTCTCAGGTTTCTCTAAGGTGCTGCCACATTTTGGTGTAGATATATCTTTAGTTCTGCTAACAAAGTTCTGTTTTCTTGCTGTTGCTAGTGGCAGTTGCCTCTCTATTTTTGTTTATTATATGTACTTACTAGTTTGGCAGCCCTAGTCTGGGATTAATATTTTAGTAAACACTTTAATTTTGTTGCGTCTGCTAGTAACAATTCCCTCTTTCTTCTGTCGCAAGATATGCAAATATTAGGTTGGCTGCTCTGTTCTGGGATTTCCCGTCTGTAATTGTTTCCTTTTCCTTTTCCTATTACAGTTCAAAGAAAGGTACTTTTTGGGAGCTGTTTTTCCTTATCATTAGCATTCAAGCAGTGACTTGTTTTTATCTGCTTTTATTGTATATAACTTAATAAAACAAACTGTCATCATTAAGTGCTACAGATCCTTAAAATGCATAGGCAACACTGATGATTCCATGCTTACATTTTCAAAATGTGTTGATCTTCTAGAGTCTTCTGTTGGCTGTTTTAAATCAAAAGACATTGTTTCTTTTTTTGTTAAAAATGAGACTACTAGTTAAGGCTTATGTACGAGAACGATAGGACTAACACCTCTATTTCACTAATGAATTTATTTTTTTTAAGTATCTTTATATTTATATAGTCTTGTCTACAAACAGTACCACTTGCTGTTTCAGGAAGGAAAGATCTCTTGATGAGCAAGTCTATTGCAGGTCTCCAGGTGCTGATTATGTGTATGTAGCCTTTTTTGAATACAACAGGTTTTGTTTAGGTTGCTACTAAGATCTGCTGCAGAATTCTTCCTCTTGCTGTCTGCCATGGTTAACCTCTCTTAGGATCAGAAAACTTGCTGAGTAGCACAAGGAAGTGGCTTTCTGGCAAGTAGCTTTTTCAATGCTTTCATGTCATCATGGCGTTTTTATTTTCCAGTACGGTGGTCAGATGACTCAGTAATTAACAGTGGCAGATGTAGCTGCATTTAAAAACACATGCTGCCATTGGCGTTGGCATTAAAAATTGAGTATGTGACAGACCAGATTGGCTTACTGAAAATACAGTAAAGCCTTCCCTAGAAGCAATATGCTCTGTCAGTTATCGAAATATTCTTCTTTCAGGGAATTATTGCTCAGTTAATAGGCATGCCAGTTATTTTGTCTTTCTGATTACAATAAACTTATTTAATCAGTAAGTTCAATTATGATAATATTCTTTCTCTGTTATAACTTCTATTATGTTGCAACATGCCTCTCAAAGACTGTGTTGAACGGATCCATAATGTAATTTCTTTAATATTAAAAATAGAATTTAGTGTCCTTGTTCCACTCTAAATGCGGATGCTATACTTCTGCTAACTGCTGAAAGGATTTAGCAAAGCAAAACTGAAATGGATTCAGGTCCATCCCTTTCTGGAGTTTTGATACTGTAAGATTCTTCATACTTTCTACTAGGAAAAAGCCCTGTAGAGTTAGGACAATAACTGAGATGTCATTAAACAGCAGGATGCTTCCTAGTGAAGGACTCAAACCCATACAAAAACCTTCTCAAAGTGTTAGGTCTCAAAAGTTTTGGTTATGTTTTAGCCAGAGTTTTCAGAATCGCTTAAACATCACAAATTCTGGTCAGTGAAAATCTGTCTCAATCTGTTTTGAACTGGGCACACAGAAGAGGATAATTCACGGCTCCTGTCTCAAACTTTGCCATAGATCCGTGATCTGTCTGGCAACGTAGCTGATCTCACTTCTCTGAAAGTGCACTTTATGTAGTAGACAATACTTCTAAAAGAAAAGTACTTGATAATGTTTTCACATCCCCTTTCTCGTTCTACAACACTGCACTTTTTTTGTTATCTCAGTGTATGTCTACACTGCTAAACCAGTTCTTTGGGTAGCGGCAATAGAATATGTAGCATAGCATAAAGTAAACTATATAAAAGGTCTGTATTACCACAACTAAGCTGCATCTGGAATTGGGTACTGTTATGTTACTGTGCTTTGACTATAGACATACCCATAGCGTGCATAACTTTTAATTAAATGTTCTTCATTGTCATTGTTGTTATTTATAAATCTATATTGCTTTTCTGTTTCCATATGTAAATTGGTCTCCTGGGCTTTATTTGAATTTCCTTGAGAACTCTGGGCAGTGTAGCTATTTGCCATTCCAGTTTATGGGCTTCTTGAAGAAACCTAAGGTTACCTTGTGGCATAGAGTAAAGATTTGTCTGTATTAGTGCTGGTTTTGAATGCAGCACATGTTGTATAAATAATTCTGCCAACGGCTGCATATCTGCATGTCTTTCAAAAGGGAAGTTTAATATTTGGAAGTGAAATACAAGTAATGTGATGCATCTTTCAGCTCCCCAGTGCCAGTATTCAAAATTAGTCTGCTTATGTATGTTGTCCTTCATGTCCAGACTAACAGTCTTAAAGACCTAATATGGATTCTGGACAAAAAAAACCCCAAGAATTTTAAAAAAAAAAAAAAAAGAAAAAAAAAGAAAAAAAGCCCCCCCCAAGTGCTTATTGGTCTCACCAAATCTGTCAAAGATGACCACCTTCAAGGAATGTTATCAGCTCACTGTGTCTTTTTTTTTTTGTGTGTGTGTGACCTTTTTTGTTTGTTTGGGTTTTTGGTGGTGGTGGTTTTTTTGGTTGGGTTCCCCCACCCCTTAAGCATTAAATTCAATCATGCCTCAGGCAGACTGAGGGAGCTCTCCTTTTGATATCCACTGAATGATACACAATTGTCAACCTTCACATCTGAACAAACATCCTTCAGGGAAACCATTATGTGGGTTGTGCTCACAGTCTCTTTGATCATGAGCACTATTTGCCACAAGCAATTATTGAATATTGCCATGCATGGATATTACACTGTGCCTGTTCCTTTGAATTGGTTTGAATTGGATTGAGCAATTGTCTGCAAGTACCAGCTTTAGTTAAGGGTTTCTTGTTCCTTTAATTCATCGATATATGCTTTCTCTCCAAGGACCAAATTCATCAAAACATCGATAAGCTAGCTTGCTTCTAAGCATACATAAACCCATGTTCCTATGTAGCAAAGCCTATCAGTATGTGCTTAATGTAAATTGAAAATCAAAATTGTGAGAAAGCTTTGCTAAAAAGTTGCAGGAGAAACCACTTGAAACTACATGTGCATAGAACTTTTGCTAAATCAGAACAGATCTGATTTAATTTATAAATAGTTGAACATAAATATTGAAAAATTGGGATGTAAAAGGGATCTTGTGTTACTTGGAACCCTTCCCCTCCCCCTTTTAAATTAAAAAAGCTCTTGAGGACTGTACACTGACTTCAATGTTAGACAGAAGGCGACACTTCCTTTTTATTCTTTTTGTGGTTTACAAGTCAAGAATACCAACTATAGGCCTGTTATATCCTCTTTTTTTTTCTAATTTTTGGGGTGAAGTATTTGGGTTTTTTTGGGGGGGGGAGTTGGTTATTTTAAAAATTTTTGGAGTGGAGGTCAGAAGATATAAGAGCTGGTATTTTTTAAATGCTTTTTACATGCAATCTCTGCATCTTTCAACTGCCTTCTCATCTCTGAGCTTTAACTCCATGAACAGTTCCGACCACATTTTGTTCTCATTTGATGAAGATCTGTTGGGTAGATGTGGAGAAACTTTTAAAAATTCTTACTTACAAAGTACAGACGTAGATATTCTTACATCTAGAGAATGCTCTTGGGACTTATTTTCTTAATTCCCAGATCTTTTAACCTCTATCAAAAGATATCAAGGAGCTAGGAAAAAAAATATATCTAGAAGAATCCAGAAATTTTCAACAGTTGTTTTCCATTTGATAAAACAAAAGTAAAGTATTTCAAAATAAAGATAATTCTCTGTGTCAGGATCTAGAAAAAAATAATTATAATTAGGGAATTCAGCTGTCATTTTCATTTCAATAATGAGTTCAAATTGTGCTCATGTTGAAATGGGTCTGTAGAAGGCTGAGACTAACTTCACTCTGATTTTCCTCTCTCAGATGGCTCGAACTATCCTCATACGAAGATGTTTTAAAACTTCCTTCCTAAGATCTCTGGCTACCTTGTATATGCTTAAGCATTCTTTTTTTCCCCTTCTTGTGTCTGGATAATGCTGTTTCTTTGCAGTATAATTACTATATATAATTACTATATGTGACCTGTAATACAGTACTAATACTGAATGGAAAATAAACAGCTGCAGAATTTCCACAGCCAGTTCAGAAATTGTAGTCAAACTGTCTGCATATGTTGATAACTTCCCCAGCGCTTCCTTCAATACCATGTGGAGGTATAGAGGATACTACTTCAACTGGCTGCTTTTTCTGACATTTTGTTGTACAAAAGTGGTCTGTTGAG